AAAAAAAAATAAAAATAAAAATAAATGCTAGTCATGATTAAGAAGCAATCATCAAGAAATCTAGTTAGTGTAGTAATCATAAAAAGTAAAACTCAAATTTATTTCACTTACTGACTCTGAGGGAAAACACAAACTCTTCAGAAAACTAAGAAGCCTAGGAGTGTCAGGCAGAAATGTCAGTAGCTTACACATTTTGAGTTACTTTAAACATACTGTGGTAACAATGGAAGTATGGTCCATGCACCTTCCTGCTTGGCCAGCTGATGAAGGAGAAGGACTCTGGGGAGTTCCTGAGAATACAATGATCAAAGAAGATAAATAAGATTACAACCGACCACTCTAATGAAAAAAAAAATTCCATTTAAAATACAGCTCTTTCTAGAGACCTGACGTGTTACTCTTCATACCACACTTTTTTGTAGTTCTCTTTAGGAGATACTGGCAGTGAAGTATTTCACCTGAACCCATACAACCTCTCCACCAGCCAAGTACACAACACTGCTCAAGACCTACAAGGAGGGTCTTCAGTGACACTGACCTAACCTGAAACCTACAGATTTGTGGAGGTGACCGGATGGAAAGAGCCCAGGGAAAATAGTCAGGGATAACTCAGAGGCACAAAACAATTTTTTATTGTACACACAAAGGTCGTCAAAAAGTTCACAGAAGTGTGTGTTATGTTTTAATTCTATTTTTCCACGAATACTTTGAAGTACCCTCATACAACCTATGTAACATATGTGAGGTAAAACCCTTTGACTAAACAAGAGGCTACAATATCCAGTCTACCTTATGTGAAAAAATATTTTTAGGCCCGGCCCATGGCTCACTTGGGAGAGTGTGGTGCTGATAACTCCAAGGCCACGGGTTCGGATCCCATATAGGGTTGGCCGGTTAGCTCACTTGGGAGAGCATGGTACTGAAAACACCAAGTCAAGGGTTAAGATCTTTATTAAAAAAAAAAATAAAAAGAAAAAGTATTTTTAAAGTACTCTAAAAACATTAAAACACAGTGGCAATGAAAACTTTTGGTCTAAATACTAAAAATATAATCCTAAACTACTCAGACAATAACAGGAATAGCATAATTATGGAATTTACAAGTTTATAAACATAGGAGGAATTAAGATTCAGAAATAAGGCACAAGTGTGGTTATATAAATATGTACACATATACAGAGTGAGACATTAATGTTTTTTTTTTTTTTTTTCC